CGGCTCCTCACAAAGGCAGCGCCTTCCCTGTCCCCGGGTTCGTTCCTGCTGCCTCCCCCCTTGGCCCGGGGGTGTCCCAGGGACACCCGGCTGTGTCCCGCCTGCCTCCCCGGCTGTGTCCCGGGGAGGGACACAGTGCGCTGTGTGCGCTGCCGGGAAGTTTCTGGCTGCGTCCTCCCCGGAGATGCGGCTTTGAAACAAAGTGTTTGGGTTTTTTTAGCAGTGTTTAATTGTTGGAGCGAGATGCGCGTTTGGAGGCTGCGGTGCGGGATGGGCAAGCACGGGAAGTGGGTGGAGGAATATTGCGGGGTTAAACACGGCCAAGTGCGGGGGCTGGAGCTGGACCCGCAAAAGCACCGGTACCGACCCGGGCTGGGGATGAGCTGATGGAGCAGCCCTGGGAGAAGGGCTCGGGGGTCTGCTGGTCACAGCTGGACATGCCCCGGCCGTGTGGGAATAAAACCTCCAGTCCTGGACTGATCCTGCACCATGGGCAGTACGGAACGGGGGAGTTCTGTCCTTCTGCCCCGCTCAGGTGAGGCCGCACCTGCCCTGCTGCCTCCAGCGCTGGGATCCAACGTGAGGAGCTGCTGGAGCGAGCCCAGAGGAGGCCGTGGATACATCCCGAGGGCTGGAGCCCCTCTGGAGCCAGGCTGGGACACCTGGGGGGGCTCACCTGGAGAGGAGAAGCTCCAGGGACACCTCAGAGCCCCTTCCAGTGTGTAAAGGGACTCCAGGAGAGCTGGAGAGGGACTGGGGACAAGGGATGGAGGGACAGGACACAGGGAATGGCTCCCAGTGCCAGAGGGCAGGGCTGGATGGGATTTTGGAAAGGAATTCCTGGCTGTAAGGCCCTGGATCCCTGGAAATGTCCAAGGCTAGGCTGCACAGGGCTTAGAGTATAAAAATTATAAACTTTCTGATTTCTAGGTCTAAGTCCAAAATCTTGTCCAAATCTAATATATCCTGGGTAATTAATTTTGGAATAAATTATTACAAAAGAACGAGCAAGGGAAATTAACTTCCTGTCTCTAATCCCTGTACTTGTGGAGACATCCAGGACCATGATTAAAAAAAAAGAAATAAAACTAAAAGCCTTTAGGAAGCAGAAAATAAAATGTGTAAAAGTCAAGAAAAAGCAGAGGAATAAAAGGAATAAAGAGAAGTGAAATGACTGACTGGCTGTCATTTGGTAGGATTAGTCCTCTGCCAAAGGGGAAGCCCTGTAGCACAAATTTAAGGATTAAAATAGATCCAGGGTTGAATCTTTTTTTCTCCTTATTTTCTTGTGTTGTGTGGATGGCAAAGAATCAGTTTCTGCAACAGCATTTTTGCTGTCAGGTTTTGAGATCAAGTACTCAGAGCCCTGAGTGAGTCTGCTCCTCTTTGGCTGTCCCTTCCCTTTGCCCACCCTTGGGATGAGTTTCCCAGGACATCACCAACATGTTCAAACTAATCTAGGTTTTATTGTAGCTGTCCTGCGGAATCCCAAGAGCTTGTGATGGAGCCAAGCTCCCTCACCTTTGTTCATTCTGCCCAGGAGTGAGGACATCAAAAGGTTTTCAAAGTCATGGCTTGTCCTCATTATCCTGCACTGATGGATCAATGATCCAGAGCCTTCCCAGAGAAAACTTACAGGGGAGCTCTTTGATTTCACACCTTTATTTTTGTAAGGGAAATCAAAGTGAATCGACTGAAATACTGGAGGTGCTCACTCTGTGCCTGTAGTCACCTTTGCTTTTCCACACCAGGGAAAGTGAAAAGCAATAATATTTATTTCCAGCTATGGACATTACGCCCTTTTGTACAAGTGCTTTAGTGGTGCTCCTAAATATATGCAGCAAAACTGCCAGAGCTGCTCAGGCCTCAGGTGCTTTGGGGGTTTTTGAGGCTATTACTGGAACAATCTGTAAATCTGGAAGCTGATTGACTTCTCATTTACATCACTGATAACCAGGAATCACTTCCTTGGAACTGTGGTGGCAGGAGACACAAAGCAGGATGCTGATGTTAATTTAAACCTGTAATTAGTTAATAAATGAGTTGTTGCTGCATTCTGGCATTTTTGGGCCTCAAGGTTCAAAGTTGAAATGTGCTTGTTTCTGTTTTGAGAGAGGCCAAGAGTGCACTGCTGTTTCCTCCCTTCATGAGAAATGTGCTGCTGCCACGCTTTCTCCAGGTGTTAACCAAGAGTTAAATTAAATTCTCCCCAAAATTGGCACTCCTTAGTCCCAGCTTACCTCTATATCTGCACTAAATGGGAATTATATGGACACCAAAGATCAAGTACAAGCCTAAGGCAGGAAGCACCAGGCTCAATAAAATGAAAGTTAAAGAATTACTTATAACTTCTACATATTAAATCCATTCAATAGCACCATTTATGTTGATGTCAGTGAAAAAGAAGAGGTTTGTCCTGTTGTCTGATCATGATCTGTAACAAATATAACACAGCTGATCCCGTGAGCACCATAAAGCCTCATTGCTACTGATGAGGGTCTGTATTCATTTTACTGCTTTCCACATTCTCATTTTAATGAAAATGTGTTACAAGCAGAGCTAATGCTATTAAAATTTTGATAGCCGGTAAAAAATGCTTCTAATTCACAATGCATAAATATCCCAATGCTGGGGTTTTACAGCTAGGGAAAAAATGGTAATTTTTGGACTGTGACATGGAGAAAATAAAAGATTTTTATTTCTTCTCTGGCAAATGTAATACAAACTGTCCTGAAAAAAGCATTTTTCATTAAACTGTAAAATGTTCAAGCTGACATATTTTACATGCTTAGGCATAATATATTTCTTCACACTGTGCATGTGTGTTTTTCATTTATTAAGAGGAAACTGAAAAATGTTTCTTTCCACAAAACCTAAAAGTTTTATCATATCCTTATGTCAACTCTTGGGGTTCTCATCTGATTTTTTTAATGCATCACACAGAATTGGAGACAGTTCTCTTGGAGAAAAGGAACATTCTTTTTCATTTCTTAGTTCCACGAAATCCAAATGCAGTGTTTGGCCATGAGTGATGTTTGGAATTCTTGTCACTGCATCTTTCAAAAGGATGAATGGAAACAGAGCTGCTGCCCTGCTTGAGACAGATTTGCAATAAAAAAGAGATATTCCATAAATGCACAGATATGATCCAGATTTGTTTCATGGTTATTGCAGATGACTACACCAGGGGAATGTTTGTTCCATCTCAGTTAAATATCGCAGGTTTTTGTAGTAATTTCATTCCATTGACAGGCCTTGTAGGTAAATTCAGCATTTTCACACAAAACACATAAGTGGTTCTTGTACACCCACAGTGCGGATTCTTCTTGGAAGTATTCCTCCCAGGAGGAGATGGGTGGACTTACAAAAAAATAATGTAATCACTTTTTGGCTTTTCTGTTTGCACTAAATATATTCTGTTGGAAATGTTATGTCTTCTATTCCAGCTGCTGATCATCCATTTTTGCTGTAATTTCCATGAGGGGTGAATGACCTCTGTGTCTGTGACTGGCTGCATGTTCCATGTTTGGGTGTACACAAAATAAGAGTTTTTTACACCTGGTGGGAAGAGGCTTTTAATAATTGCTCTGGTTTACAATGTATTGCAATGAATCAGAATGGATATAAAATTAAATTTATGAGTTTGTGCTACAGAAATTACTTCAGCCTTGGCTTTGCAGATACCTATTAAATGTCTGATTAACTTGGGGGTCTCTTGCAGTTGAAAGTGGACCACTTTCAGGAAGAATTAATAAGCCAAAACTTCATTTCCTTTGACATTCCTGTTGGCTCCTGTCAGCCAAGGTGTGTCATTTACAAACCTGCACCAAGTTTGACAAGAGCTGCAGGGAAGTTCTGTGTTTGTGAAGGCTGCTCAGTAATCTTTCCTCTTCCTCTCACTTTCGTAGAAGCATTTTGGTTCTCTGGGTGTGTCTTGGGCTTTTCTTCCAGCAGGATGACACCTGGGATGCCCCTGCAGGGCTTAATTTGCCAGCAGAAGTGTTCAACGGCAACATTTGAGTTTATTTAGCTCTTGGGATGAACACTTCAGTCATTGCACTGGTTTAGAGTCTTTGAGAAGGGTTAAAAAGAGCCTCTCTCCTTCCATCCTGCTGGCTCCATCAGCAGTTTCTGCCTTCTTGCATTTGAATTTTTATATTCAGAGATTATGGGGCTATTAGGGATTTAGAGGGTGATTAATTATTTCTTTCAGAGAGAAGTCCAGAAAGGAGCTGAACATACTAATTTATTAAGTAATATTATTTTATTAAACTGTTTATCTTTCAGCCTAAAACATGGGGCTTGGCTGTATATCAAGAAAGGGATTGTGTTCTAAATTATGTTCTTTCAGACTTGCTGAAAATGATAGAACACACAAGGAATCTTCAGAGGGGTTGGATGTTTACATGGAGATGTGTGACCATCTCCCAGGTACTCTTTACAAACGCACAGGGCTTCCCAAAGTGATGTGTTTTTGGAAGGATGGGATTATTATGGATGCAGCTTAGTTTATACCCTGCTATTTCATCCTGTGCTCTGTAATAAAAACTGCTTTACAATTCCACAATAAATGTCTACAAAAGGGGGAAATCTGATTTCTGACCATGCCGGAGTGTGAGGTTTTACATTCTTCAGGGGGAAAGTGCAGTGAGATTTTGTGATGGGTCAGTGCTATCTCTGTGTGCTCTGAATAAACACCATTTACATGAAGAGCAGATCTTCTGTCAAAAACAATCTCAGGCATCACCTTAAGGATATTTTTTGTGATGTCTTGGACATCGACTCATGAGCTCTTTCCCCACAGGTTTTTTTTTACCCCTCACCCTTCCCATGGTCTTCATTCCTGCAGGACTGAGGCAGCTGAAATCTTCTTGGTCATTGCAGGTTTCACCAACTCTCTGCAGCCAGAAATTTCATCAAATCTAAGCTTTTTTTATTCCCAGCTAAAGTACTTGCTAACAGGTGGAAGATCCCCTCACTCATGTGAATGTTAACTCCAGAAGCACACACAAGTTAATTTTTTAGCAGCTCCTTGCACAAACGGGGCTTTAATTCTTATAAACAGACTCAGGGATATCTTGGCAAATTTTACAGTCAAGCCCAAAGCAGCTGAGGGAAAGGGTTGTACAAAGTAATATAAAATAAAAGTCAACTTAGACTTCACTGTTGTGGGAAGCTCCTCTTTGCAACACCTGGGAATAACCAAGAGTACGAGGTTTTATGTGGTTGTGGGGTATTTTCATTGGTGTTTACTGGTATATTTTTCATATATTTGATATCTACACTCAAAATGAGATTACGAACTCAGTTTACAAAACTTTCTGACAAATACGAATAAAACTGATGAAACAAAAATCTGGATGTAACAAGTCAGGGATGAATCATTCCCAGAAAGTCAATAAAGTTTAACTATATCAACTCCAACAGATCTGTGATTTTAAATCTGTGTTCAAGCTCACAGGAAAAGTGAAGAGCATTTTCCAAAGATGTTTTCTGGGACTATATTCTGGTAAAGCTGTTACTTATTAGAATAATGATTACACAGAAGAGCGCAGGCTGGAGTTGCAAACATCCATTATTTCTGGTAATAAGGCTCAGCACTCATGTTGCACTTAACATTTTGAAAGCACTGAACAAATATTAACTCTCTCTCGTGATCCAGGGAGCTTTCAGGATCTCCATTTGCAAGGGGGAGGCAGCTGAGCTAGGACTAGCTTTTTAAAATGTGACAGGCATTCAGAAAAAATTGAGAAACTCAGAATGCCAGGCCACTTCTGTCACCTCCTGATGATGTGATTTTCCTGAGGCCAAAAGTGACACATTAGCTGGGGCAGGGTTAGATTGGATGATTTCCTTGGCCTGCAGACAATGTTCCCTCTCATCCTTTGATGAACGATATGAGATGACAATGAGAAATGACAGAGAGGGAACATGATGTACTAGCACCTGTTAGAAGGTTTGAAAAACTGGTTACTGGAATATGGAGTGTTTGAAGCAACGAGGAAAGTGAGTTTGTGGGAACAAAGAACCGGGTGGGATTCACAGAAATCACTTCCACGTATAAAACATTAATTTCTAAAACAAAAACAAAAAAAAAAAATCCCATCTACTCTCTACCCAAATTTTATTCATCTGAGTCCTTGGAAGCCCAGGTTAGGAAGGGATGAGGGGATGCCCAGGAGGCTGCGTGTAGTGCAAGAAGCTGACATCGCTTTTGATCAACGGATTGATCCGAAGCAGTCGGCAAACCCTGCTCAGGGAATTGTGCAGCGCTGACGGGGTCTGGGGGCAAGTGGTACCATTATCTCTCCCTGGCTGCTCTCCAAACCTGGCTTTCTAAATGGATTTCTCACTGCAAGCTCGCTCAGCCTTCCTACCGAGCAGGGTTGGTTTCCGGAGGAATCTTTTAAAAGACTTTATCAGCTGTTCCTTAGGACAAAGCCTTTGCTCTCCTCTGCCTCTGGATGGAGACTTCAGCCACTCTCAGGGGAGATGATGGGGTGGAAACTCCACACCTTCCAGCTGGGTGGCCATGGCAGGTCCAGTTCCTTTTGGAAAATACCAAATAATTTTGTTTAACCTTGTACTTGTAACAAGTGACTGATGTAGCTCAAACTGGCTTCTCCAGAGTGAGGTGTGATCTTCACCTGGGGACAAAGAGCAAGCCAGGAACTCAGCCACTCGTTTGATCTGTAAATCCTTCCCTGGCAGGGTGGGCAGGCCCTGGCACAGGTGCCCAGAGCAGCTGGGGCTGCCCCTGGATCCCTGGCAGTGCCCAAGGCCTCCTTCCAACCCAAACCATTCTATGTTTCTGTGAAACCAGGTGAATTTTTCTTCCCCTTGTGTAAGATCCAGGATTCCTGGAAAGTGAAGACAGGTATTTGCTGTTGCTTTGCACAAGGCTCACGTGGAGCACGGAGCTGTTCGGAGTCGGCTGCCAAACACCAAACAGCGCCTCGTTCCTCCTTGGAAAAAGGACAGGAGCTGATCTAATGCTCAGCGCCTTCCTTTTGTCTGGCTTAGGAAAACAACTCAAAATTCTCTCCTGTCATGTTGGAAAAATGTCACATTTTTATTTCCAGCAGGCTCCTGCACTGAGATGAGTCAAACCCAATAAAGCTGATATCTGTATTCCTGAGCTCTGCCCAAACTTCAACTTACAAACTATTTATGTGGAGTTGTTTGGAAATGGAAAGTTGTGAGTGCTGTTCTGATTCTGTAATCAAAAGTTGTTTGTGTCAGCCACAGGAGCTACTCACCAATGTGGTGTTGACAGTGGTTGAAATGGAAATACAGAAGCCCTTGTCTGAAAATGAGAAAATCTTCCTCCTCATCAGAAGCCTCCACCTGAAAAACAATGATTTACTTGTTTGACAGAGAGAGAGACACTGATAAAATAAACCATGTTCCAGGCCATTTTCAATGTTCATCATCTATCTGTCTATGAATATGTGCTTTTATCTCTAAAATACACGTATTTCTGCAATAACAGTATTAATATTCTGGACGAGAATCCAATTTTATCTTTAAGCAGCATTTGCCAGGGATTGTTAAATCATATAATGGAAGCTTTGTCTAGACACATTTCTCAGTGGCCAACTTAATTTTTTTTTTTTTTACTTTGATTGTTTTTAATGTATTTCTCGGAAGAAAAGGTCCTAATAAATTTGTTTACAACCTTTTCTAGAAGCTATGTCAGTTTTATAATGTTCAACTCTGGCAATAATTTTTCTGAGCCAAGCCCCCTATTCTTGGAGTCTGAATGTTCTCTGGGAGAGCCCTCAGCTGAAAGTTCCCTCAGATTGTTATTAAAAAAGTTATTAGGTTTTTCGAGAAAAGTGAAACATTATCAAGTGTATTACTTGGAAAGGAGCAAAGCTTTCTTTCAGTGACTGCAGGATGTTTCCATGTGATGATTTTTACTACAAGTTATGAACAGAAATTCCCTGGGTGTATTTCACAGTGGAAAATCCAAATTATGGCCATTATCAAACCCGGGACAGCCTCATCACCCAGGCAGGGACCAGGACATGGCTTTAAAGTCTCAGCAGTGGTTGTTGGAACAATATTTTTGTGCAGCTTTTTTAAAGCTGCTGCTTTGTCCTCTCGCCCCTGGCCTTGCTCCCTGAAATCAATGGAAAGGCTCACGTTGGTTCTGGTGGGATTTAGCTCTGGCCCAGCTGAACAGGTTTCAGCTTTGTAGACCTTTCAATCACGAGCAAGCCTGACAAAATGTTACTGCTTTCCACAGGGCTGCAGGTGCTCTTCCTGGGGCTCATAATGTCACGTTTTCCTTTGTTTCTCAATGCTCTTTATTAATGAAGTATTATTTTATTCCACTTGCCAGGTGTGCACCTCAATCACCTCAAAACGAGTTTAGAAAAAAATGCCAGGATGGTTTTAAAAAGTAGCTGCATGAAGCTTGATTTTCCCCCAAGGCCATGAGTTCATTTAGGACCTCTTTCCTTGGTTTGGGTTGTTGGGGGGTTTTAAGTTAATTTTTGAATCTTCCCCTGCAGCATTATCCTGTTTTAAATTTAATTCTGTGTAAATTCAGTCTGTTGTCTGAGGACTTGTGCATCAGTCAGAGAAGGAGAAGTGAAACTCATTAATTGGGTGAATAAAGCAGAAGGATTCCTTCCAGGATTTGGAGCTTCCTGCCTCCCACAGCTTGGGGGGATGTTGAGAGCTGTCCCCACACAGTGGGGAGAGGGGACACGAGGAGCTCCTTGGAGGTTCCCAAATCTGCCAAGGCATTTAGAGGGAAAATGTCACTTTGCAAGGCTCCAGTCATCCCAGTGTTCCCTGCTGGTGGTTGCTGGGGAAGGCAGCAGCTCCAGGAGGGTTCTTGGATTGCTCTCACCCTCTGGGTCCATCTGCTGGGACATTTCCAAGGACACTCCATGGATGACATCACCTCTGCTTACGGGAGGGAGTGTGGTTTCCATAGCCACACTTCCATCCCCTCCATGTCCCTGCCTGCGCTGCCACCTTAAACACAAAGGATTCACTTTCCAATTTAGAGAGGTCTGAGCTTGTGCATCTCAAAGCTGTCACACTTTGATTGTTCTTTCAGTGCTTTAAAAACTCAACTTTCAGCTCGACTGCGGAGCGAGAAATATTTCTTCCTTGAACTCTCTGCATTTATACAGCCCTCTGTCTTTAGATTAGACAAGCAGATACAAGAATTGTCTTGTAAAATTGTAGTTTCCCTTTAATAAGCCGCTCTGACAGGCAATTATTCATGCAGTCTGCTCAGTGCTAAATGTTTTTTCATGCTGTGCACCCCTGTCTCTTGATTGCAGGAATGCACTCCTGTGAATTATAATTATGAGTAAATATGAACTGGTGTGCAGGAAATGATTTACTGGGCCTTCCATTGCTACATGCTATTGATTCTCCTCCCCGAACAAATAACATGTATTTTTTCATTCTGTGGGGTTTTAAGTATTTACTGCAAGTCATTTTGACAGAAGTTGGTGAAACTCTGCATAAAGAATCTCTTTCGTGAAAAATTGTTTGCTAATGTTTAAATTTCAGGACAAAAATGGCAAGAAGGTGTTAAGGTTTGGTGCTGGAATATTAAATATTATGCAGACATAATCATGTGGATCCAATTCACCTTGATAATTAACCCATTTTCAGATACTTTCAGACAAACCACAGGCTTGTCACCCTTAATAAACCAGATATTCCCTCATGATTTAAAAAAAAAAAAAGAAGTCTGATTTCACTCTTCTTAGGTCTGTGTATGTTTGGGACAGAGAGAGTAAAAATCTAAACTATATAAAAACTATGTAATAATAACCATTTTTGCTCTTTGGCTTCAGATATCAGCTGTGTGATAGAAATACAGCAGGAAAGCCCAAAAATAGACAGAACGTCGTGAGCCTTTCAGGATCTAAAGTTTTCTTCCTCTCCAGGCAAATCCTGTTGACTGAGATGTGAATCCTCAGAGAAAACAGTGGAGGTTCTGCGAGGTTCAGAGTTGTATTTAATTTTAGAAATAGTATCACTTACGCGGGTGTGTAAAGAACAAATCGTGTCAAGCAAAGATGACTCCTTTTTTAATTAAATCCTAAATTAGTGGGAGAAGGCGAAGCAGTGCATGAAAGCATCTAGAATTTACCAAAGCGTGTCTCAAAATTGTGTTTGACAAATGAATCCAAGTGGATTACACAGAAATGCAATTATGAGCCCGAGTAATTGGCTAAAGAATGTTGTGAGGAGTAATGATGGGCAGGGGAGCGCAGTCCTGGGCCCACGCAGGACACCAGTGGGATTTCGCTGCACCCCGAGGAAGGAGCTTTGTGGTGATAATGTTTAACTTTCTTGTGGGGTTGGTTACCTGGCAGAGCTGAGGATTTGGGGAGTTAGAGGAGTGTTCTTCCCTTTGTTCCTGTCTGGCTGAAGGTGTGGTGGGCGGCAGAAATGCGCGGCCTGCCTCTGATCACAAACACATCCGCGGCTTTCCCGAGTCACAACCATTTCTCTGCCTCACAGAGAAACATTTGCAGACACATTTCATCTCCCAACATCACCTCCTGTGCAAGGCTGTCACCTTTTGGGGCTGTTTCCCCACAGCTCACCTGTGAAAACACAAATTAAACAGTTCCATGTGCCTGTGGCAGGGCAGCAGCACCCCACAGATTTTCTGAGGGGTTTTCCTCATATCCCTGCTGACTGAATACTGGGAATTACAGAATAATTTAGGATGGAAAAGAGCTCTGAGGTCATGGAGTCCAACCATTAACCCAGCCCTGCCAAGGCCACTGCTGACCCATGGCCCTCCTCATGAGGAGAAGGAAATTTCCTTGCTAAAAGGACAAATAAATTTAAGTCCCTGTGTGAGCTGAGCAATTGCCTTCCCTGTGAGGCACGAATCCGAGTAAAACACGAGCTCAGATCACGCATCAAGGAAGCAACAGGCTGGGGTGAGAGGAATAATTGGCCCACTTCCCAAATTCACCTTCAGTGTTTAGTTAGAGCCCTGAAAAGGGAGGGCAAATTGCTGCAATTTGGGGTTGTGTCCCTGTTTTCCCTTTATCCTGCTTTGCTTTCCACAGGTGCAGAGGTGGTGGGTTTGGCTCTGCGAATGCAGCGTGTTTAGATGAGCGAGGTGGGATGTAAAAAAGCCCAAGTCAGCTCTCTGGAATATATAAACAGATGAAATTAAAGCAGGAGCTCTTTCTGCTCAGGCATCACAGCACAGAAAGCTGGGAATGTTTATCCAAAAGCTCCATCAGTTACAACAGGGAAAAATTAATGCTGCAGCCAATATGGGATGGGGTGTGGATTCTACACCCTACATTCTGCTCCAAGGGCTAAATTTGGTCCTTCAGGGGAATTTTATCAGGGAATTCCTTTGGGGGAATTTTATCAGGGAATTCCTTCAGGGGAATTTGTGGGAGCACCTCTGATTGGAGAGAAAGGGCCAGCACTGTTTCTCCCCGTTTCTTTCAGGACAGTTTGGCCATGGGGTAGCTCATCCACCCTAAAATAGCTCAAATGGTGAATATTTTGTGTTTTTATCCAGCCTCCCTCAGCAGTCAGTGATGGGAGGATAATACAGCTCATTTTTAAACATGTACAGAATAGGTCGCGTAGGTAGAACAAGAAAATCCCTCTTTTTCTTCCAAATAAAACCTGGACAGCTGTGCCAAAAAACCTGACAGTTTTGTTACTCACCTCAGCTCTGGTTTATGTACAAGTTTAGAACCACTGGCACATCCTGTGTTGGTTTTTTGCTCCATATTTGGTCCTACCTGCACATCTTTTCTGCCATTCTCCTTCTGCAGGGCAGGGAGGGACTCTGGAGCCCTTCAAGCAGGCTTGACTCCACTGATCAAACTTCAGAAATCAGCTGAAACTTCTTTTATTAAATAAAAAAATACGTTTTTTTCCTCATGGATTAATCTTTCCCAGGCTTTTGCTGAGGAAGTTTGGACCAGATGATCCTTCAGGTCCCCTCCAACCTGGTGGTTTTTTTCCACCAGTATTAAACTGGTAGAAAGAAACCCTTCCAGCTGAGAATGTTTTCTGTATATGAAAGGAGAGCATTTAACCAGAATTTCTCAATCAATCCCATTAATAGATTTCACTCCAGGAATCCAGGCTGATGGAAGAGCTTTGGGATTGGGGAGCTGATTCCCAGGAGTGTAAACCTCTTCCACCTGCCCACAGTTGAGCCTCCCTGGGCTGGGAAACTGCAGAGAGAGGCTTGAACTGACTCAGGCAGGTGGATGTTGCCATTCCTGGGATTTAAATGATTTCACTGCCTCACTATTCCATAACCAGGAGCATAAGGAGCTTTAATGTTCCTGTATTCTTCATTTTTATTTCTAGACCCAGCAGCCACCAGCACTGAGCAATGCATTGTCGCAGTTGTGAGTAATGAACCTGAAAAGTGGACACTTTGCTAATTTGCTAAAAATAAGATTTTACATCTCTATAAAAGCTCCTTCTCATCCCTTTGGATGATGAAATACAGCACTGAGATGTTCTTTTGGATCATTGTCCAGGCTGGAGAAGGCTCTGTTTCAACAGACTCCCCAAAATTCACTCTTTGATCCTATTTATGTGGTGGTCTCGCAGGGAGAATGTAAAACATGAATTCTGGAGTCATAGTCATAAAATAAAGAAAGTACAAGGGTTTAACACTGGGACTACAAGCAGTTTCCAAGCAGTCCTTAGTGAAATTAGGTAAAAATAGAATGTACATTTACAAGCATCTCTTTCAATGGAGTGAAAATACTGCAAAATAAAAAGCTCTGCAGTTTATCCTGTGGGTTACTGTTTGCTTTTATGAGGATTTTGTCAATGACAGAACAAATATTGTAAGCATTTCCTGATAGGTTTTTTTTCCCCTCTCTGCTTGGGAAAATAATAAAATAAAGAAATAATTCTTTATTTTTTTTTTCCCCCCTGTCTGTTCATTCTGATATCACTCTTCAAGCTATTTCTCTTCGGTCTTGGTGATAAATGGGGCTTTGCAGGGAGCAGCCATAAAGCTCTCACGGTTTGTTTGTTGCACGTTGCTTATGTGGATTTTAAAAGAACATTTCATCGTAATAAACAGCCATGGAAAATTATATATCCTGATCAGTTGTACTTACAAGTATTTGTAAAATAAATCAGAGAATTCAGGTTTGTTCAGTACTTTTAGAGGAGTCTGTTTGCCCTGTTGTTGTGCAGAGATTTTATTTCATTTTTCTTTAGTTTTCTTTAATTCAGCTTTGTTTTTTAGACTTATTTTCCCATACAATTTGAAAACATCTCCATCCATCCATCATCCATCCCTCTCTCCTTCCAATGGCACTAAAAATGGGATTCCCAGATCTGTATTCATCCTGAATTCCAGGGCGTTTCTTTTCCTGACCTGTGAGGAAAGCATTCATCCCAAACAACTCAGACTTATTTGGAGAAGCCAAACAAGACGTGTTCTATCAACATTCTTTGTAATGAAATTAATCTCCATTTTCCAATTAGGCTTCTCTTTTTTTTATCAGCTCCCACACTTAATAATATCTACAATTACGAATAGAAATTTTAGTTAATAGTGTCTATTAACAACTGGCTTTATAAGAATTTATCTCCCATTTAAATATCTGTGGTCATAGTAACAGAAGTAATTGAGGACTAAATGAGTTTGCAGCCTTGAGCATTGGGTAAATTGCATTATTTCCTTTTTTTTTATTTATGCAGCACCACAAGTTCAGGTGGACAAGCCTTTGGTGAAGGAGTTTTCCCAAATATCCAGCCTGAACCTCTCCTGGTGCAACTTGAGGCCATTTCCTCTTGTCCTATCCCTTGTTCCCTGGAAGTGAAGGGGGAAAAAAAAAAGGTTGGAAATAGAACAAATTCCTGAAGGTAAATCATAAATGATAAATTTCATTGACTGGGACTTTCCACACCCCAAATATCCATAACCATCCATTTTAATCACCAAAATGAAGGCTGGAGCAGAGCCAAAGGAATTTCCTGCCGGAGCAGAGGAAGGCAGGGTTCCAGTTCCTCTTTTTGCTGGATTTCTCCTCTTTGGGGCTGGATCTGGTCCCCACCAGCCTCTCTCTGTCTCATCCTCACTATTAAAAGTCCTAAGCACTTTCTCAATACTCTGGAGGTTTTTTTCCCCATTTTCTCTTTTCTTTATCTCTGTGTTCCCATTGCTTTTTTCCTTACTCATTCCATTTCTTTTCCCCTGTTAGTGGTGAATGTAACCTACCTCCTTTTCCATTTTCCAGGGGCGTTCTCTCTTTTCTCCTTTTCCCCATTTATATTTTTCTCCTTGCTTTCTTTTTTTGGTAATTTCCATTTTTTCTTCTTTGTAGGAAGATTATATTAAGTGACAAGAATAATGTCAAATAAATGAGATTATGTTAATTAACAGATCTTGTCGCATTTCCATGATTCACAGGAAAAAATATTCACACTGGCTGATTTTTCAATTAAATCATTTGCTCTGTTATCTGCTCAGCATATCTTTATGAATATGCAGAACTGTAATGCAGTTAAATTGTTTCAGGGTCTTTGTTAACCTCAAAAAGCCACAAGGTGCCTGCCAGCAAAATAGGGGATTTTATTTTTATTTTTACCTTTTTGGGTCAAAATCACAATTCTTTGTTTTAGCCTTGATATCTTTTTCAAGGAAGTACAAGGGATTAAATGTTTGAGAAAGCATCTTGATTCTTTCAAGGATAACAGGCTCATTCTGTTCCTTTTTCAACTTACTTCATCTTAAAAAGTATTATTTTATATTTTTTTGTGCCTCTAATATTTCTCGTAATATCTCTTTATCCCATGGGGGCTCTCACCACGAGCAAGTACATCCCAAAAAACGCCTCGGAAAGGATCTGTAGAGAATTAGCTGGAACTTCAAAGATATCAGAAGTATTAATTTTGAAGTGGAAGATTGTTCCTGCCCACGTCCAACAGGAACCTTTTGGGAATAAATTGGAGCTTCCTGAGCGTTCCTTTCCTATGGCAGGGAAGGAATTCAAGGTCTGGGGATGTGGTGAATGGCAAGCACCAACATCTCTGATTCCAGAGCCCCTGACAAAGCCTTGTGCAGCTGTTGAAACTTGAAAATCAAAAACTTTTTATCATCAGCTGAGAAACTGGAGTGTCATGGGCACCTTCCCAGGGGGTTTCTGTGCTGAGATTGCTCAAATTGGTTCTCTGGTGAGATTTCACTGAAAATAAGATAACAGAGCCTTGTGCCACGGAGGAGAGAGGAGATCTCTGTCCCCTGGAGGCTCCAATGCAGGATAATTCAGGGGAGTTACAAGGAACAAATGAAATGAGCTGGTGGTTGTTTACTGATGGAAATCACCCAGGACAGACATTCACCCTCTCCAGCTTCACCCTTCCAGAGCCTTCCCTTTCAAAAGCTTCTCTGTCTTTTGATTACTCTACTTGGAATCACAGGAAAATTTAAAAATAGAGAATTATAATATATAAAAATAAAGAGATGTTATTAAAATATTGCAGCACTGCATGTAATTCAACATGTAATACTGTTATTATTATTATTCCTATTGCTATTAAACATGCAAGAAATTCTTCTACTAGGGCACAGTGCACTGT